CTGTTCAGTTCAGCCGGCTGCTTTCAAGTGACGGGGTATGTGGTAAGGCCCGTTAATTTCCTATGCATGGACGCATGGCTGCACTTCCTTTGCTGTGAAATGAGTTCCCCGATAGGATGCGGTGCCGTGTGGAATGCACTCCTGGTAGATGGCACACCATTTTGTGAGTCACAAACACTAGGTGCTGGCAGAAACATTATGAGCAGCAAAGACTATCCATTTTCAGGGTACAGGAGTACTCCAATAAGGATGAATCTTTGCCCCCTCAAAGGTGGAAGAGGTCCCGTATGATCAATCTGCCATCAGACAGCTGTTTTTAGTAGCCCAGGGAAAGGGGGCCGGATCAAGGACTCGGTGTTGTTTTCTGCTCTCTCTCTTGACAGCAGTGTCAGCAAGGGGAGCCTCGGTAAGGAGACATTCAGATTGTTGAGTATATACATAGCCTGCATCCCCACCACCATGGCCACTTTGTTCAAGGGCCCACTGAGCAAGCCCTGGGTGGCTAAGCAAAGAGGCTGCCTGACACCCAGAGACAGTGCCATTTCACCCACCTGATTATTAAAGTCTCCTCTACAATGGGTACCTGTAGCGTGTATCCAAATGGTACACACGGATCTTCACAGTGTGTGCTCATGAAAAGAAACTTATCTATATACCTCTTCCGCACACTACCTTGTCACCAATCTTCCAATCTTATTCCTTTCCGAGTCCCTGTACATCTAGAAGAAACCACTAGCAATTGCAACTCCCACTTGGACCCACATTAGATTGGAGGTAGGTAAAGAGCAAACATAGTTCTCCAAATAAGAGGTGTAAGTACTTTTCCCAAAAGAAGAGAGGTGTTCTTGGCTGACAAACCAATAACTGTTCCCTACATGTTACCCTTTGGCTGTTCAGTGCATGCGCACACACACACACACACTGGTTTTCACATAGCTGTAGTTTCTCTTAACATAAAGCAACTATCCCTTATGCAATTGACAATGTACTCAACCCCTACCCAATGCTAGAGGAAAACTCAATGTCACCTGCAGCCCAAATTCAGGATCTTTGAGTGTAGCCAATCTTGATAAGGTCCAGATCTAGCTAAATGATAATGATAATGGAATTTTTCCCCAATGCACAAATATATAATAGAGGGGGGTGGGGAACAGGATAACAAAACCTAATAAGAAAGGGCAAAAAGGAGACTCACTGTGCCATGGTTGAGCATATACCGTATAATGCAGAATAAGCGTAAGAAGGACTTCTCTTCTCCAGGAGAAAATTGAGATCTCTTGTCAGTCACTCAAAGTGCCAAGATTTCCTTTATCTATTATCCTCAAAGGCTGTCCTTTAGAGAAGTAGTGAAAAGGAATTTCCTGGGACTTCCCTGGCAACTGAATTCATCTTTCTGCAGATCCCAGGACTGGGATGTTGTCTTTGAGACAGCACAGCAGTAGAGGCCTTTTGCAAGGCTAAAGGCTTCCTGGCAATCCCTTAAAATTTATTTGGCTGTCAGTCAATGTCATTTAGGGGAAATCCATTAGCTTGTTATCAGAAATCTCATTTAGACAGCCAGCTTTAAATAGGGACTTTGCCCTTCTTGTTTCCATCTCTTGGAAACTGGCCTGGCAACTCTACCCTGTCAATCACCCTAGATCTTAGTTCACTGTCTTTGCCACAGACTTTATCTGAGGGCAGGGAGGGAAGCAGGCTGGGATTGTAAAGCCAGGTTACAACTTCAGACTGTCCCCTAAGTTGTACCTCACTCAACTGGCACAATGGGAGAAATTATCTTTCAGTTGGTAAGGGGGCACAGCAGAAGATATTTGAGAAGAGCCCCGAGGAATGAGACATCCCTGACTCCATTGTCCTGCTGGGTCTCTGCAATCCTGTTTAGTGTTTTAACCTTATGAGGGATGAAGCGGAAGGGGGGAGGGGCAGAAAATCTAACTGTTTCAATTGGCAGAGTAGATATTATCTGATCACTATCAACGCAAGATAACTAACCCACTGGCAGAAAGGACTCCTCTTACCAGCTATATAAGTACCACTTTATTATTGCCCATCTCCTTCTGAGTGGCCCTGCTGAACCAGTCTGTCTCTCTCAGAGCACCAAGGGAGTAAGAAGTAGCCAATATATTCCAATAGCTTGATTAAAAAAAAACAAAAACGAGTTTTCATAAAGCTAGAAGCCTTAGTGGACATCTGTCGTGAAGGATCACTTCTTGCTTGTTTGTTTTTAGTTATCAACTCAACACAGACAAATGCTTTCATAAATAGAAAACTGCATGCTTAGGGGCCACATTAATGTCAAATTACTAAAAGTTTCAAAATGCTCCTCTCAATTTCTATACCTATTTCATTGCTGATCAGTACAGTTTACAGACTGGCTTTGGTCCATACATCACATTTTAAGGAGCACTTATCTAACAGATAAATCTCACTAGGTTCCCAGCCTAGGTATCAATTTCTGTATTAATGGAGAGTCTTGGTTCAGAACATATACTGTATATTCTAACCTTACCTACCACCTGAATAATGAGTAATATTATAATCTTACCTGGCACCTAAATAATGGAGCACATTCTAAGACCAATGAAGCCCACTGACTCTTTCTCATTGTTTTACGTCTTCTGTGGTGAAGTGAATTCCTTGGTCAGAGGAAGGGTGTATGGGCTAATGTGATAGGTCTATGGAGAATGGGACTTGCTTGCAGCAACATACATCCATTTCCAGGATAAGGCACTTGTAGTGAGACAAATTGTCGACTAATCTATGACAAAAGGGAGTCTGAAGTAATTGACTGGCTTCATACCAGGTATCTTGCTGGTCCCCTGAAAGAAAGCTGCCTCATGAAGACCTTAAAATTGGTCACCATTGATGTGAAATTGACTTTTCAGCCTTGGCACTAATCAGGGGATTAAAGCCTTTCCGTTGCCATTTCCTTGGCAAATCAGACCATGTTACACTACAGCTTAAAACCCATCACTTCCAGGGCGCCTGGGTGGCGCAGTCGGTTAAGCGTCCGACTTCAGCCAGGTCACGATCTCGCGGTCCGTGAGTTCGAGCCCCGCGTCGGGCTCTGGGCTGATGGCTCAGAGCCTGGAGCCTGTTTCCCATTCTGTGTCTCCCTCTCTCTCTGCCCCTCCCCCGTTCATGCTCTGTCTCTCTCTATCCCAAAAATAAATAAACGTTGAAAAAAAATTAAAAAAAAAAAAACCCATCACTTCCTCTAGCACTTGGAAGAAAATCCAAACTCCCTTCTGTGTCTACAAGGCACTGAAGGTTTAAGGCCTGACTTTGTCTCCAATTTCATCTGATGGCACTCTTTCCCTTGATTAGATCAGGACGCTCCATCCACGCTAATGCTTCGGCATAGCAAACTCTTAGCATATCTTGTTCCCTCTGTCCGGAACACTCTCTGAACATCCCTTCCACTCCCATAGCTTTCAGTTAACAGCTGAAATGTTACCTCCTAAGAGTCATCACCCCAGTATGACACAGACATTACTTTCCAGTCAAGCCTCGTTTATTTTCTTCACTTATACCTAACCAAGCTACAATTATTTAATATTATTCGAAAATAAGTTAGTACAAATATTGCAGCAAAATGGAAATTCCATTCATCTACAGAGCTTTTTAAATGCTCAGATATTTTTTGAATACTTAGAGTAGGAAGCAAAAGATCAAGAGCCATCCTTAGAGACCCAATAGATAATAAAATACCCAAATGGTTGCATACTCCCAAATGCCCTGAAGTCAGCCCTTGCCTTCATTTTCAAACGGATAGTGGCATTATCATTTTTCATCCACGATTCACACCAATCAGAGACCAGATACCCATGACCCCGCCTTGTGGCCTTTTATTAAATCAGAGCTGCCCGTCGGCCTCTTCTGTGGCCAGAGGCTTCTGGCTGCAGCTGAGCTCGGGAGCAGAGGCCCGTGCCAGCCTGAAGAGTGGGACTCCGGGGGCGCCGCGGGGTTCTGCGCTGCCTGGCGCTCCCCAGGCCGTTACCCGAGTCTCGCTCCCGCGGGCAGCGCCTCTCAGGCCACCCCCGAGAGCTCATCGGACCCCAGCGCGGCCGTTCAAACTGGCGAGTGTGCGCCTCTCGGGGTCCCCGGATTCCAGGGCTACTTGGGCGCAGAGCCGTGAAAGAGTCTCAGTCCCCAGGCGCCCAGCTTTCGAGTGACCGCCCTCCTACGCCCGTCGGCCTGAGCCACCGTTTCTCCTGCTGGGCTCCCCAGCCCTAGCCTGCAGCCGCCCTCGCCCCGGTCCATCCTTCCAGGATCTGACTGTGCCGCGTATAAGCCTCTGAAGTGCTCGGGCTCCCAGGCGGAGTCCTGACCGCAAACCCAAGTTGAGTAAGGAATAGGGAAGGGAGAGGAGACAGAAGTGTGACCTAAGCTCCCTGCCTCTATCTGTCTATCTGTCTATCCATCCATCCATCCATCCATCCACCCACCCATCCACCCACCCTTCTATCGATCTGTCCATCCATCCTTCCGCTATCATCTCCTGCCGCTGTATTTTAGGACTAGAATTAGAATTCCTTAATGAGAGGTTTATCATGACGTCGTAAATTAACGCGTTTAACTGAAAAAGCGAAAATAGGACTTTTTCAGATAGAAAATGTCTTAGAAAATAAATTTACTTGTTGAGAACTAGTTTTGCTAATTGTGTTAAATGGTGGACCTTGAAGTTGAACGAGCTATGGGGAAAGTTCTAAGGTTTTGACAAAAAAATTAAAGTCCATTTATACTATACTGTATGCCAGGAACAACGAACTCATGTTTAGAGATGAGCTAGAAAGGTACAAAGATCACGCAATTTTTTCAAAACCTTTTTAGGCGGTCCTCCAGCAAAAGAAGTCTAGCCCAGTAGCAGTCCCTGCCCCCAACACCCGGACGTCGCCTAGCCCAAGAGCGGGAGGGGCCTACCTTGGGGGACCAGGAAGGAGGAAGGGAAAGTGGGGAAAGGGGCGGGGGAAAGTGACGGGAGCAGTGAGAGCCGGAAATGAGTGGCTAGCGAGGAGCCCAGGGGCGCCCTGTCCGGCGGCGCTCTAGCCCCCGCGCACTGTCTCTATGTTCCCCCTGCGTCTGGTCTATTTATTGTCGCGGGGAAGAAGCGGCCGCCCAGTACCCGGAACAACAAAGCACGAAAGACGGAGCTCGAGCCTCGGGGGCTCCTAGCAACGGGTCGGGGCGGGAGTTCCATGGAGACTGGGGAGCGCGCCCGCCTCATCATCATCCTTGTCCTCCAGCTTATCCTCCGCGTCCGACGTAACCGGCAGCAGCGCTGCCGCCGCGTTCTCTGCCGCCGCCCCCTCTTCCCACGGTAACCCCGTAGGCGACCCTGGGCGGGGGGAGCGCGGGCGACCGGGCGGCCTGAGCGCCGGGTGCCGGGCATCTGGGCGCCGGGGCTGGCGTGTGCGAGCCGGGCCGTACGGTTGGTGGGGTGTGCGGGGGCGGACGACCCGAGGAGAGGAGCTAAGGTGGGAGGAATTGGTCCGGGGGCCGAGGGAGGGTCTACTTCTTAGGAGGACCGGGTGATATTTGGGGAGCTCATCAGGGATAACGGCGTGGGGGGCGGGGCGTCCCTGCCTGCGAGCTTAACCGAGCGGGGTGTAGCAGAAGAAAAGAGGTGTTTTATTTTTCCTGTTAGCCACCCCTAGGAAAGACAGAAGGGAGATTCCCCATCCGTTTCTGTGAAGCCCTCACCCTGGAGAAGAAGAATCGTGCAAAGATGCTAGGGGTCCATTGGTTCCCAGAAAACTTCCAGCGGCCTCTGCCGCGGCGGGAAGGCTACCAAATAGTATCTTCCCCGGTTACTGGTGCCGGCGATGCCAACAGCCCCGCTTTATTATTATTATTATTATTATTATTATTATTATTACCCAAATTAGGTTTGATGAAGGGTCCGGAACTGAGGAAGATAAAATGAATTGTGGGCAGAGCTAAGCGAGGATCAGAATTGGGATAAGCGCTTAATGATAGCCCGTAAGAGCCCTAAAAGTAATTTAATTGCGAATGACGGTTTTTAAGACTCCTTCAGCCGCGGTGTGCATCTGCGGGCTCTGTCAGTGTGCTCATTGCAATAGGACTCAGACTGCAGCCAGCCAGTTCACATCTGTGAGCTCTCTGGCTGCGTCTGTCACCTGCAGTTGCAAAGCGACACTGGCAGTTAACCAGCGTGGGCTTCTGTATTTAGGGTTAAGAACAGTGCCTTAAAATTGGCTGAAGGTAAAAAAGAGAGAAACAAGCCTGGTGTGATTTTTGTGTGAAGAACCAATTACAGAATCCCTGAGAAAATTGAAAACTAGAAATACAAGGAAAAGGTTTAGCAGTCGGAGCGTAATCTGCTGTCTCTTTTAAAGTTTGAGAAAATGGCAGGCCATTCAAATGGAGAAGGGACTTTTATCGCTATCTGGTTTAAAGAATTATTTGCAGTTTGATACCTCCAGGTAAATATTTGTCAGCTTATATGATCTGTGCTTTACATCACTATTTAGTGGTTTTATACTTTCCCAAATCATTCCAGGTCAGTAAATGAGGTTTCCCTGTGGCATACTGAAATGGCCACATATTCAAGAGAATATCATCTTCATGTCCAGTGAGAATAAAGCTCTCTATATAAAGTTGAGGACAACAATGAAAATAAAACTGATAAATCACAGAAGCAATTATGTCAACCACAGCTTCTGTTTGTCTCAAGCTTTTTTTTTTTTTTTTTTTTGGCTAAGCTGGCTTGTCTTAAGCAAAATGGGTCATCCTTATTCTCAGCCCCCTCTTTTCATACTCTTTGCCTTCAAGATCAGAAACTAATGGTCTGCTAATAAGTGCTCTTGATTGGTTCACTATAGCCAGAATAGCGTTTTTAACACAGGCATTTTCATGGAGTTGGGGTTCAGTATCTCTTGTTAAAGGACTTTCATGGATGTGCAAAGAGGTGGGCAGTTATCTTTAATGGAAAGTATAAACATTGGGAGATTTAGAGTTGCTTAAGATTCTAAGAGGAAAAACCCAAGATTGTCACCTTTAGGTTAATGAATCAAGGATTGTTTAATCTTTTCATAAAGCTCTTCTATGAAGGATATCCTGGGGGAGGACCACACTTGAAGCTGTTGGATGTTGAGTCCCAAGATTTCCATAGTGCACATGAGACTTAAGTGAATTCCCTCAATCACAGGGTTGCCATCACATACTTCACCTAGACCTGTTTGTGGTTCCCTGTCTGTTCCGTGTTTGAGTGGGGGTCAGGCCCTAGCTTCCACCTTTAGTAGCAATCCAATTTCTGTGTTCCCTGCTCTCTACTGTAACATTCCCAGTGTTTGGTGTTGTTTTAGTTCCTATCCTTATTTAATCATGTAACAGTCCAAATGATTTTTTGGGCTATTTGTATTGTTTGTTTCTTACGGAGTTTTCGGTATACATCCTTGGGCTATATATCCTTTTCATTAATGTTAACTTTGTTGTATTTTCCTTCTTCTGTATCTCTCCCCTTTATTTGTAGAATTGAAGTGGTCATGTCAGATGTTATGTATTCATTCTGTTTGTGCAGAACAGCAGGTTAAGAGCCTCATGCTGGGACTGTATTGAAATAAAGCATGTAAAAAATATTGTCACTTTTCAGAATTAAAAGGTGCTTTACAAGTTCAAGTGGTAGTACTATAATTATAGACACAGTCACTTTTTTAAAGGTTAAAAGTATTGTAGAGCTCACTGTGTTTTTAATTGAACCTCAGATTTTCATAATTTTTATTCTGGAAACCTTCTTAGTATCAGTCTTTTCTGATCATTTTGCATCTGAATATTTAACTGAAATTACATTTTGCCAAGTTTGAGGGAACAATTTAAGTGATTCCCACAAATTTTTCTTTATGTGGATAATTTTTATATCAAAACTTTTGTGGATATACAGTAGTCCCCTCTGTATCTGTGGTTTTACTTCCTGTGGGTTCAGTTCCCCCTGGTCAGCCAGGGGCTGGAAGCAGACAACTTTCCTTCTGATGTATGGTCGGAATGTCAGTAGTAGCTTAATATTAGGTTATTAGGTCATAGGGCCTACGTCATTCACCTCATTTCATCTCAACATATATGCATTTTATCATCTCACATCACAAAAAGAAGGGGGAGTATAGTACAATAAGATATTTTGAGAAAGACCACATTCACATAACTTTTCTTATAGTACATTGTTATAATTGTTCTGTTTTATTACTATTGTTAATCTCTTACTGTGCCTTATTTAGAAATTATGCTTTAACATAGGTATGTATGTACAGAGAAAAACATAGTGTATATAGGGTTTGGTATTACCTGCAGTTTCAGGCATCCACTAGGGGTCTTGGAACATATACTCTACAAATGAGGGGACCTACTGTATACGTGTATAGAATGTGCAGAATTTGCTCTAAAGTAGAGCAAATACATATGAAATATGCAACTGAATGTTATTGGAGAATGTTATTTCTTATCATGGATGTGGCACATCACTTACAATAAATATTGTATAATCTAGTTGAATGGGTGTCAGCATTGTTTTTAGGCGAAGGAGCCGGTAAGAATCTGGTGATTGATTTCCTTCCGTTGCATCATTGACCATGTGATGAAATTATTATTGCTTTGAAATGTAAAATTTAAATTGATTTTAGAAGAATTCATAGTAGAATGTTTCCCCCGTGTGTTTAACTGAAGACCTGTGGTGCTTTGAAAATTTAGCTGTGTTGTGACATTTGAATTAAAAAATAAGGATTTCCTGAAACATACACTCAGATTTGTTACACCTTTTATATGCCTAATGCCACATCGAGTATGTAAAGCTGGATGAAAGGTGTTTCTCTTCAGGTGCTTTTTGTGCACTTGTAGATAGCAGAGAAATGGACATACCATGAATACCGAAACACGACACACAAATTTGTATTTTAAAACCCTTGTTACACACTGCCCGGTGCTATTGATGTACAGATTTCATCATGCCTGATAAAATTAGGACTTTCTGGAGGATCAGGACTATGAGTTGCCATCCTATTGTATGCTAATGTCATGCAGGTGTGTGTACATATTTTGAAGATTAACATGTTAATAAAAGGTTTTATTTATTTTCTTTGACTTCGGAGGGTAATCTGGTAGATGAGGGGAACCTTTAATTATCTAATCTAATTAGTAATCTAATTCTTGATGCCTACAATTTCAGTTATTTTGTTTTTTTTGGTTTTTTGTTTTACTGGCTGCAAATTATAAGCAAAAACTTCTCTAACATGATTGGGGATTTTTTTTTTTTAAACTAGTTCAAACAGTAAAAATAATGATTTACTGCCTTGAGTAGCTCCAGTATTTGCTCGCATGAATACCACCTTGGGAAATTTCGAGAGGGTGAAAGAGTATATGCGTGTTTGAGGTCTTGCCAGGCTACGTATACAAATTTGACTTTTGTGATACAACCTTTTATTAAGAAGAAAGATACGGAGTGTGTGTGTCTGTGTAGTTGTGGAAAAACCAAGATTCTAGAAATAGGTCATTAGTGAAAAAGAATCAGTTTGTATCAGAAGTTATATTCATCTGGTCTTGTGATTGGTGATAAAACTCAAAATTTGGCTTCAATGGCTTGTTTTGTATGGGACACCTGCTGCTAGGGATCCCATTAAATGTTAAACACACTGAAGTGAGTTCTGGGACAGTTCGGATGGGCCTTCGTGCAGGAATCAATAATGAAACTGTTTAAAATTTCACGAAAAAGAAAAAAACAACACAGCACAAAAGTTTGGCTGGCAACTTCAAGCATGCAGTATTCATTCATCAAGCAAGAGTACTGAAAATCAGATTGTGTACTGAGGACGCTTTTGTCAGGACATGTGTGGATGAGGACTCTTACTGTTTTAATTGTATTTAGCACCATAGAGATCTGCTTATAAACATTGGTCCGTGGTATGTTTTTTTGTTTTGTTTTGTTTTATGTCTGTTTATTTTTGAGCGAGCGGGAGAGACAGAGCAGAGCTTGAGCAGGGAAGGGGCAGAAAGAGAGAGAGGGAGAAACGGAATCGGAAGCAGGCTCCAGGCTCTGAGCTGTCAGCACAGAGCCTGATGCATGACTTGAACCCACAGACTGTGAGATCATGACCTGAGCCGAAGTTGGATGCTTAACTGGCTGAGGCACCCAGGCGCCCCTGTTTTTGGTTTTTAACTCCCTCGATGAGAACGCATAAAATTTTAAAAGAAGTAAAAATTTGTTTTTGTTAATTAAATAGTTCCAAAGAATCAGGTGCGAGCCTTCTTTTGTTGATAAATTACAGGTATTTTCATCGTGAGGCAGAACAATTTTAGTCAAAACCAATTATA